GCCCCCCCCCTGCCACTGACACCATTGGCAGCATCTGTGGATGCTCACCAGCTCCAGCCCCGATGCCAATGCAGGTGTCTCCAGGAGCTCATTAGCTCCTGGCCCTATGCCACTGCCTCCAGCAACTTCTGTGGGTGCCCCCCCGCCAGACTCAGGACGTATCAGTCACCCATGATGCAGGGAGTCTTGAGAGATATACATTGAAAAGTAGTAGTGCTAGCAGTGACCCTTGGTGGAGAAGACAAAATGTTTTTGTTTGATTTATAGTCACAGTAACAATATGTCTTTTGGAATTGAAGACACCTTGTTTTGGTGTTAGCAACCAGCAGTTTGGCTACAGGACGCCAGGATATCAGAACAAAGCCCAAAATAACCAAGCATTAGGTGTAAACTTTTAATACTGTAAAAAGATCAATGGGAAGGATGTTCCCTTCCTATTTAGAACAAGATATTTGAGATGTAATTAGTGATCAAGATGTGAAAGTAAGGTATCCTTCAAGATTATCAGACTTCCTGTCTTCAATGTCATAGGACAATGTTACAGAGGTAACGACAATATTTTCTCCTATACAATACTCCCCTCAAATAAGTTGCACACCTTATTTTTGAAAGGCAGAATGAAGATAAAAAGATCCTTCTTTGAAAATCCTGGTAAGTAACACTAAGTAGCAGCAGCCCAGTGTGCTCACTCTGTTGCTTCCTGTCGGGCACTTGGGAGTGTTCCTTTCACACACATGTACCCCTGCAGGGGCTTATGCTGCAAAACCAGTTGTTACTGTATTTCCTCACTTATACTGCACATCCCACTTTCTAGCAACTGATTTTGGGGGAAAGGCTAGATGATACATATGACAAAAATTATGGTAGCCAGTGGGGATGTTTATATTTCTATTCACTGAAAAGTTATATCTGGACAGACTTAACTCACTTGAATTTGAAAATCTGTACCCCTGTGTAACAAGCAGGCATCCTGGGGCCGGTAGAGTCATTGGCCCACCCACTTGCCTCAGAGCTAACAGTCCACCTACCTCGCTTACCACAGCTTTGATTATATTAATTAGAAGAGGATAACAAGGCGGGAGGCTGCCCATTTATTTGCCCTGATACTAAGGGCCTAAACACAGCTCCAAACCTCCCCTTATACCATGTCCTATGCCTCGCAAATGGCATCCATAGCCTAACACCTGGCCTATAAGC